CCTGGTCTGAAGCATTGCTCTCTCTCCCTGAGCAGTCTTCATTATCACAAGTTTAAGATTCTCCATGCAAGTGTCTTAACAGGTAATTCCTTCAGGAGATGCTGACGGTGTATTCTTTGGGGTTTGTTTCCACTCAGCAGCTAGGGTAACAACAGCGCAAACATCATGCTCCCGTCTGTTGCCAAGGCCCCGTGGTGACACTTATCCTGACCCACAACCTTTGGCTCTCTCCTGAAATTTACAGGGAAGGGGGATCATAATGCTTAGTTCTTTTATGGTAATTGTGTATCTGGTGCCTGAGTGGATTTGAAATTAAGCACATGAACCTGAAAATGACCCAGGTATAGGATCCCCCTGATGTAGAAGATGCGTTCTTCTGTGGTCGTTATGTTTCCCTGATACACTCACCACTATTGCACAGCAGTGGCTGTCAAATAAGCAAAAATTGGGGGGAAAACATGAAAACGGTCCTCCAGTAAAACCGTGTCCACAGCAACAATCACAAATGACCCCCCACCCAGGCTGCAGCTGGACTCCACCCTGGGCTCTAAGAAGTTCCTAGTTCGTAGTCAACACATTCAAGGGCTGTACCAGGGATAAACAGGACTGAGAACAGCAGCTAAAACTTACAGATCAGGTAATTCCCAACTACTTCTCTGCTAAAAAAAAAAAGTCTACGCTTCATCGTTGTGAAACCCACCCAAGAGGAAAGGAGCAACTGAGCCCGCTGTGCCCGATGCACCATTGCAGAAAGACCTAAACAGGCCACTGATAGGAACAGAGCTTGTCTTCGTGGAATTAACCTGTCATGGCTTCTTCTGTGCCTCACAGTGCTAAAATAGCAAGACTACTGCAACACTACGTGAAGTCTGGCCCTATGAGACATAGTTAAGATCTTTCAAAACAGGCAGGAGAGCAGAAACAGCCTCTGGGCCAAGGGGGTGGGGGATTAGGGCTTCTGCCCTTGAGTAGGACAGAGTTCCCAGGCACCAACACAGAATGTGGAGTGAGCCTAGCTGGAAGGCTCGGAAGACCGAGTTTGCAACCTACCAGATCCGGGTCAGTAATAATGATGTGGGGAGGCCAGCAGTGAGTGAGGAAAAGAGTAAATGAAGCTGAAATACTTTTTCATGGTATCTGCATAGCACTGCATGGTAAATCTGTCTCGCCTGGCAACCCAGTGCATCCACATGCCCATAACGCATTTATGTCTCTTCTGAGACCGGGAGAGAGACACCACCTTGGCCACGTGGAAGTTGAACTGCACGAGGAGGCATCATGAAATTCTCAAGAAGCTTCATGCACACTAAGCACCCCATTTATATATTCATTATATATAATCCCACCCCTGCTCGTGAAAGAGAAATAAACAAAGCGGTGAAGATGCCCCGTCATCTTACCTCCTGGCTTATGGATATTGCGTACACGTTTTCCTCACCGGCAACCCCTGGCCCACTCATGTCAGTTCTGTCTCTCTAGATGGTAACCCCCTTTCATGTGTGAACACATACTTTTACTCAGCTCCTACATGTGCAGTATATTTGCGACTCGGATCTGTATTTCTATTTCCGTAGGGCCAAGAACTTGCAGTACAAATTAAGATACCTAAGTCCATAACACAGAGCATCCCATGTCTGCACGCTGTTATCTCGGTACTCAGAGAACAATGGCTTTGTAAGACACAGAGTCCTCCTTTTGTTATTGCTGTTTTTAAGAAATTGTTTTTATTGGAAAGGCTGATTTATAGAAAGAGAGAGAGACAGAAAGATCTTGCATTTGCTGGTTCACTCCACAAATGGCTGCAATAGCCAGAGCTGAGCTGATCAGAAGTGAGGAGCTGTTGATAAGTGCGAGCATTTGGGGGCAAGTTCATTAAGTTGGACTGCAGAAACACCTGGAGAGAGCAAGATCCAGGGCAAAGAGTGAGTCCAATGGAGAGGACTTTTTTTGATGGGTTGCAATCCCCACTGGTGAGCATGAGAACCAGAACTGGGGCTGGGATGGCCTGTTGGACAGGAGGTAGCACCCACCAGCATGAGTGTGGCCTGGAGGGTGGAGTTGGTTGGGTTGGGTAAGACTTCTGTGCATAATTTATACAAGAGCTGAATGGGATGTGGGGTAAATCAGACCAGTCTGCTATACATGCTGGCAAGCACAGGAACCAGAACTGGGGACCTGTCCAAGTACGTGGGGGTTTGTTGAGGGTCCTTCTGAATGGACTGCAGCTCCCCCTGTGTGTGTGTGTGTGTGTGTGTGTGTGTGTGTGTGTGTGTGTGTGTGTGTGTGTGAAGGCTGAGTATGTAGTGGGAATGTTGGGTTGGGTTGTAGCACTCATTGGTTTGCAGAAGAAGGAGGGTAGAAAAAAAATTATCAACTATCCCAGTGAAGCAAAGTTCTGGGCAAATGGAGACTGGGAAGTGAATTATGGGAGCCGACTGACCTTGGAAGGATCTCCTTATCCTAGGAGCGGCGATATCAACGGCATCTCAGAACTATCGCGACCACATGAGCAGAACGCTCAGGACATGCTCCCCACCGGGGATCCTGGGATGACACCAGGTGACTGTTCCCCACATCCAAGTACTGAGACATGTGGGAGACTAGGCACTGCTTCTCCCCTTGCAGCCCCACCTCTCCCAGATAGAGGAAGAAGAAAATGTGCAAGCAATGGTCGCACCCACTTTCCTCTTATCTTTCTCTCTGTATATTTGAGTCATTTTAAAAATTAAGTCTTAAAAAAAAAAGCCTCAGTAAAATTATACTTGTCTCCACATCACTGACCTTCAAAGTGAAAACTCTGCGAGCACCAAGGAGCTCTAACGAAGAAACAGCTTTAGCAAACCTTTTTGTTTCCCAAATGAAAAGGAACTCACTTCGAGTGGAGGACTCCGTCCTGTGAGCTGAGGACCCCTAGTGGGCTCTGAAGTAATAACTTTTTCAGTACAGTAAGTTGGACAATCAGTATCTCACATACTATTTTCAAGAAAATGCATGATATAGAAAGTACTAATCATCCAATAGTCTCATTTAAATTTAAATATTTCACAATTTACGAGAAGTTTTTGTTAAACTAGCTTTTGTTGTATAAAGAGGTACCTGAACTATTGTCACTAACGGGCCAGAGCCACAAGTTTCAATGCTACTCAAGGACTGTGAGGATGGTTTCCATGGCAGCCTCTCTTTTATGAGAGGCGCTGAAAACAACTGGACCCGTTAAGAAAAAATAAAGGCCCTACAGAACTCAACCTCGCATCAAAACTGCACTGAAATACAATACACTGAATGTTTAGGAAGGCACACACACCCACAGGGGAGCACAGCAGAGTAAGATGTTCATGTAACATCGGTGTGCATGCGGCCCCAGCTCCTCCGCTGCACATCCAGCCTCCTGCTAACGAGGCTCCCGAGGCCGCCAGCTCCGCCCCAGTGCCCGCATTCCTGCCGCCCGTGTGCCAGTACCCAGCTTTGGCCTAGGCTGGCCTTGCCTGTGGCAGCCACGTGGGTAGCGAGAAACTAAGTGGAAGATGGATTAGTCTCTGTCACTCTGGCTTTCCAATAAATTTATATATATATACATACCCTTATATATAAATGTATATATATATACACATATATACATTTATGCACACATTATAAATGTCAGGTACAATGGAGAACCTGCGTTTTTGGAGCAAATCCCAACCCATACAGTCACCATAAAGTACCTTCTCATGGGAATGCCGACTTCCGTTGGCTATCTGTAGGAACTGCAGAGTGGAAAGACAGCCAAGAGTGCCAGGCCTCACTTCAAGGACATTTTCCATTCACATTTAGTAATTTCCTCTTTCACACACACACGCACTTACACATCTTATGCCTGACTCAAAGGGTACATGTAAAATATTGAATCAAGTGCTTTCGCGTGTCTCTTGACCAAGTTTGTTCCCTGGCCTGCTGGATTTCTAGTGCTCGTCCGCTGGAGGAGTCAGGTGCATCTCTTTCCTCTCCTAGAACCTGCTCATCTAAAATTACTAAGCCACGCACTTTTTCTGTATTTGTAACTATTCCCTACCCGCCCCCTCCCCCCAAGTACCTGAAATAATTTCAATGAGAACTTGCAGCACTAGAGGGAGAGTTAGCCTGTTCAGAAAATATTGGGCACCAGATGACAACATGTCCTGACGCAGGATCTCAGGTCCAAAGGGGATGGTTGGTGACAAGGACAGGCAGCGCCGTAGGCAGTACTGGATGACAAGCACACACACCCGCGTGTCCACACAGGGCCGCGTGCAGGAGTACATGAGACGCGCAGAAGGAGTCACGACTGAGGCTCAGATACAGAAATATACTTAAGAAAGAGAAGTTTTATTAGGGCAATTTCACTTTATTTTTTCCATACAGCAAAGTCAACTACTGCAGTAATAATAAAATAAGCGGAAAACAAATTGCAGCCCAAGACAAAAATACAGAATTGTAAGCAACTACAAGCAGAAAGTAAGTCGTGATTACATAATCGTAAAACCAAGCCCGTTTGTCCTGTCAGCAGTTGAAAATAGTAGCGCTGCGGATAAGCGCAACATGATTAGCCAGCCGCAGCGAGGGCTGGGTACCCGAATTCATTAAACAAGTGCCCATCAACGTCGCTTGCTTTGTTGAGTGCTTCTGAGTTGAAAATTGCAACTGTGAAATTTGAACTGTGTTTTATCTTTTCACCTGCTGAAAGAACAGGATCCTATAGCAATTAAAAAACAATCACATAACAACTAGAGCTACGGTGTGCTGTTTGGTTTGCCTGCTTATGGTTTAAATTTTGTGAAAGTCGATAACTTGTTTTGAAGATTTTTCTTTCTTTTTTTTTTGTGAGCAATAAACCACTGAAATTGGCAGAAACTGATTCAGATAATAGATGTCCTTAGTATAGTTCTTTCTCTTTTCTTTTTTTTTTTTTTGTTGAAGTTTGAAACATGCAGTAGTTTTGAAAAATGTAAGGAATATTGATCCATGATTTCACCTTAATGGTCGAAGTAACTGCTATTTTTTTTTTTTTTTTTTTTGGTAATGATCTTCAGGCAGATTTGGCCCAATGGAGTTTTTGTCAGTCATGAGAGATCTCGGAAGGATGGCATTATCTTCCCAGCTGAAAAATCCTGGCAAACTACAAGCTGTCCACGAAAAAGCAAAGCAACGTGTTGGAAGGGGTATGGAGTGCTAACTCTGTGCCACTTTTGCAAGCCATTTTGCTCAGTCTGTCATTGTGTTCGCCTTAACAAAACTCCTTGTAATTATAGACGTTTTTATTCAAAATAAGATCTTACTATTATACAGGTTTCTCTCTTTTGACTATATACAGAAGTGCAAAAAGTCAACCTTCGCGCTAGACGTTCCAACATGCTAAACTGCAGCATAATCAACCCTCAAGAGTTTGCACACACGCTATAATTCTCATTACGTAAACTTTGAGTATTTGGATTATCAACAAAAAGTCCCTTGTTTCTATTTATTGATTATGCAGCTTATTTATAACAAGGCCTGATATTCAGGGATTTCAAAAATATTAAACAATACTTTAACATTTGAAATGGATACAGTAGAAAATAAATTTTATTCTAATATCTAGGATCTAGATCTTCTTATAATAACTAATTACAAACAAAATAAATCATCAAAATATTACTCAATTGTCTGCCAGGATTGTTGCGATAGCAACAACTTAACTTCTTACTTAGCAATGATTCTATATTTATAAGATATCCATATAAAAGATCTTTGTTCTTTTAATGAAAACTAGACAGGAACTAACAATGACTGACATTCTTACACTGTAATATTAAATCAGTAAAATAGAAATCATTCAGTTAACAATAATACGAATATTCATATGACACTACATGTAATTCAAAACAGTATGCTATGAAGGAAAACTAATTTTTTTTGTATTTTGAAAAATTCATTGGTAAAATCTAATAAAACAATAGTCTATAAACTGAAATGGTATTCAATTGTTAATAGAAAATGAAAATCTAATAAACGTAGGAAATGAAAAACTACATTTTAACAAGAAAAATAAGTAATATTCTATAATGCAACTAACTACAATAACGTGTGAAGTCACCATTACTCTCTTTTAACACGATTGAAATTACATTGGTATGGGTTCCAACCCGTAATGTAATAATCTAAGGCTTTAATAGATGTACAGTACAATCAGTAAAATCAACACATCAGTCTTATATTAGAAAGCATCTCTCTCAAGCATAAAAACTTGCAGTAAACTTGGAAGTATGGAAAGTTCTAGAACCGAACTCTCACTTCTCCCATTCCATACTGTATCTACCAGTGACCTGGCCCCTACGTCAGCAATTTTTAGAACTGCTGAACAGAGCAAAAATATCCTTTACTAGCTGCAAACATCCAAACCACAAAAAAAAAAAAAAAGGAATTCCTTTGGATGAATCCATTCTTAAAAACTGAATGCACATCTATTTTTTTTTAAATTTTGTAAAAGGCTTTCTAAGGCTATAAGCAGTTAATCTGAACAAAACAAAACAAAAAAGTCACATATAAAATTCACCCATGTACTTAACCCACCCAATTACTAGGTTGATTAAACATTTCCCATTTTCATCTTTTGGTTTATCATGCATCTGACGACAGTGCTCCTTTCTTGGTTTAGAGTCACTATTCTGAATGTGACTGTGTGAAATATTTCAGCAAACGTGAAACCATTTTTGCAAAGCATTTATAGTCTTTTGACTCTTGACAGAAGCTATAAATAGAAGCAAAATAATTTCCTCAAATATTTTTTTTGTTAATCGTGTCTCAGAAATGGCGTATCCCTTTTGAATAACATGTTATACAGTATAGTATGCATAAATATTACACTATAATGCATTAAAATAATTTTATATATCTCTATCATATATATTTCCAGTAGATGTGAGTTTATCTGTGTTGAGAGAGTTCGTGTTGTGCTGTCTATTGTTACTGTAAAGTTAAATCGGCCATTTCTGAGACAGCTTTGGTTTTTAAAAAAGAAAAAAAAAAAAGCTATGGTGCCCTTTGATTGATTAGTACTAGCAAATAAGCAACAAAACGTGGCTCTGAAAACAGTAACACTGAAGAAATAATACTCTAATTTGATGTACAGTCTATGGCACTTCATGAGAACCCTTAACAACATGGTACTTAAAGCCATGATGTGCTTTAAAATATACACAGTTGTGGTTTTGCTTGGCACAATCATCTCTGTCAGATCCCTCCCTCTCCACAGCTTACAATCTATTACATTAAAAATATTACTCTTAAACAAAAATGACTGCATGCACGCTCTCATCTATAATGGCAATTTTAAATACAAGGTGCACCTTTGTTATTTGTAAACCTTGAAAGAAATAAACTTATTCTTTTTTTTAAAAAAATTATATCTTGGTCTACGGACGTACCAATACATAATAGAATCATGGTTACACCATAGTCTGTCTTTTCAAGATGGCATGAGTATATAGGAAACTAATGAGGTATGCACGTTTTCGTGCACACCTGTGTGCTAGAAAAGAAAGACAATGTTCTTTTAGACAGGAATATCATCACCTCAGCACAAATCTCAATTCAATGTACAAAGTGTATAGGCAACAGTGTGCGGTGGATTTCCAGGATGTCTTTTCTTCTGGTTAACATGCAATACGTGGAAGTCTTGTGGCTGAGGGAGCTTTGAGTGTGTTGCTTGACAGTATATACAGTATGGCTAACGACCTCTTCCTTTCCTCTCACCAAGCACGCTGTCCTTGGCTCGTTAGTATGATCTACAAGGGAAGAAGAGATGACCTTGTTACAGCAGGACACATCTCAAAGACTGCCCAGGATACACTGGGGCTCACTACGCACATTTCCTTACTGGACTGAACAACGCATTCACAGGTTATCACGTCTTCAGGGAAAAACAAAAAGCACCTCGCGCGTGCAAAGATTCAATTCAAAGAAAGTACGGATTGTTCAAAACTGTCACACTAAACTGAAACACCGAGCAACGGTGTGCTCGCTTCAGCTGCATATACGAAATTGGAACAAATCAGAGATGAGCACGGCCCCTGGGCAAGGAAATACTGATCAAATGGAACCGTGTCCTCTCTCCACACTGTCACTGTGGGCCTGGATTTGAACTTGCTTAGTCTAGTATGTTTCAACAGTAACAATTTCACCTAAATAATTTAAATCCATGCAACAATCCTATTAAAACACACTTAATTTGGTTATTGATCAACATAATGTTTCTTAGACATATTTTAAGTGGCTATTTTAGCCATTCAAAGGTATTTTTTTCTAAACCCAAGAAAAGCAAAAACGATTCCTTAGGAATTAAGGAGTGATTTGTGATTAAGTGTTAATAGAAGTTACAATGTATTTGTGAGTTGTTTTATTTTTACATGGAAATTATTCTTATCAGGGAAACTGTACATATTAAAATGTTTTAGAATATGACTTCAAAAACAAAAGCAGTGCTAGCTATGCCTGCCCAGGATCTGTCTCACTCTGCGTCTTGACATTGCCTACTGCCACAAACTGGTTCTCGGTCAACGTTATCAGAGTCTCTTCTGCACCTGACACCCTCCTTGTCTATACGGCAGGACCTGTGTGGTCAGAATTCGATTATTTTCTGACTCTACTGGGGAAGAGGTCCTCTCTTTGCTACAGGGGAAACTTGTGCAAACCTCTCTCATCTGACCGTGCGATCCTGAACTTACATCTCTAATTCATTGTCTTTGAAGCACTGAAGACAACGTTTTTCAACACAAAATTAAAACTTTCAAGGCCATGTTTGAGCAATGACAACATTTTCAAACTTGTGTGACCTTCTAAGGCGACTGCGTTGAAGGATCTAATATTCATTCTGCCATAAGAATGTACAGATAGTCACATTATACGAGTGTGCACAACTATTTAAGTCAGGTTCTTTCCATTCAAATGACCCTGTGTTCCAGGTGGTACATACTCTCATTTAGGACTGAGCAATAAACAAACAAATTAAGTGATGATCTTTGCAAGCATTAGCCAAACAATCTGTGAACCAAATCCAAACGGCCTCTTTTTATATTTTCACTGGAACATGGCCACACACATCGTATCACGTTATCTCTGATGGCTTGCAGGCTTCAGCCACGGAGCTCAGGAGCTGCAACAGAATCCACGTGGCAGACATGGCCAAAATACCTGTTGCCTGCTTTTTTTTTTTTTCAGGAAAAACAAACAAACAACTAAAAACCCACCAGCACGTAAACTCCACCTACTACTTAGTATTAAGCCATGTTGTTTTCACTTCGTGTGCTCATTTCTACTGGGGAAGTTTAAAAATATTTTCTACACAGTGTTTATATATTTAAACATTAACATAGTAACTACAAAATTCATGACAAAATCCATTTAGAATAAAAATATTTGCTCGATACAAACATTTTCTCCAAGACACTGCAAAAGTTTAAGTGTACTACACAACTGGCTTTTTCAAGGAACATCATGAATATACAACTATGTATTACATAATGAACTTACTGTTTAGTGATGGAAATTCTACATCTGGGTAACATACTTGTGGCTAGTCAGATGTTCGGCAGATATTATGGGTATCTAGCAAATAAAAAATTATTTCATGAATGATCCATGCAAGCAAGCCAACAACCAAGAGATGAACACATTTTCATAGAAAAATTTTTAAAGAAAAGTGACATTCAGCTGTGAGGTGATGGTCCTTATCTGTTCAATATCACAAGCTAATAACAGCAACTCGTTGCTTTTAAATCTTTGTGTTAAATACGATACCATAAATATTACTGGCTTTTAGGAAGTAAGAGAAGTAAAACTACCAAAAAACTCATGCATAGTAGTAATTGAAAGAAGTCCTTTTTGTTGGCCTACACACGCACACACACACACACCCGTGGTTTCAGTTATTTAATAAAAATTCAGAAATCAGATTGGTAATGTCTTGCTTATTTCCGGCCAGCTAGCTTTCTAACACTGCCTGTATAATAGGGTGTGTAGTAATTTTCCAAATTAAAACTACTAGATCACAATTATTTTAGTACTGGAAAACAAATGGATAAGAATATACTTCTGCTTTACAAAACATTTCTTCATCCTGATTGTACATTTAATTTCGTAGTTAGATGGGCAAGAGAATTAGAGAACTTGAGAGTGAACTAGTATAAGAAACCAGAATAGATACAGTTTATTTCCAAAGCTTAAAGAGAGTTGAGGATTTGAAACTGTGTAGCTTGATTTCCCTCCAACTCAACATGCAAGGCTGCTGAGAGGGGCAGCACATCAGATGAGGCCATCAAAAGACCGAGAGCACGGGTTCTAACACTGGTCCTCCATTTCCTGGCTGTGTGACCTCAACCAAAGCAGGTAACTAGCAGAAACTTAAATTTCTTCTGCAAAATGACACTTTTCCCATTTCTGCAAGATTGATGGGAGAACAATGCATCACATACATAGACATTTTGTTACTGTTTCAATTTAGGCATCCTGGACTAGTTCAACACAGTACAATCCGCAGTCTGGAATGTGTATTACTCTGTCCCCGCTTTACTTCCATTTCTTAGCTGACATTTTTACACAATTTTACAGCACTGGCAAATGGCACGAAAATGTGCTCCAAGCGTAATGAAGCTTCTCATACCATTTTTCCTGCTGCCGCAGGACAGGATGTTGCACCCAACAGAGTAGAAGCATCAAGGATGGGGCTGTCGGAACATACCAAGGACCTTCAACACCAATCGATGCAGATGAAGGGCCAGCTAGAAACTTCTGCATGCACGCAGGCTGCATTGTGTGGCATCAGCTATTCCCAGCATTGCTAATGTACTGTTGGCATATACATCCTTATGTATATGTCGATAGAATCTATGTGTGTATATATAAATATAGATTTATATCCATTCCTTTTCTTCCTCGTGGTTGTAAAAGAGTATGAAGACCCAAGATTACGCATGAAATGGTCACAGCACGATGCAAAAAGTAAAGTGTCCCCTACAACCCAGGTGGCCAAGGGCATGTTGAAATTTGCTTTGCTATAGTTATGCTTACACCAGCAATTCTATTGTCATATATGGTACACGAGTGTTCAGTTTCATTGATCTGTACCACAAATGGATTGCACTGATTCCATTATTTCTGCCAAACAGTACTTACAAACATGCCACATATGCACAATCTAGCATTCTTGTAAATGAGTCTGATGAGTTACTGTAAATCCAGGCCTGCTTGGACGAGCTTCTGAAAATCTAATGACTCTCTGCCAAGAAACGTTTAAAACTTGTTTCAAACATTTGGGATTTTGCTACCATTGATGAAGAACCTTCCACTTAATGTAGCCATTAAAAAACTTTTAATAGAAAAACTCTGCTTTTAAAAACTTTTAATGGCTATACTAAAAGCTCAAAGTTCTTCATCAGTGGTACACAACTACATTACAGAAACAAGGGTAGTTGCCCTTCATAGAAATCATTACAAATACGGATGGCTCTTAAATGGTTTTCTTTTTCAAAGGGGAAACAGTTGATTCTCATTGAGTAGCAGTCTTGTTACGACTGACTTAACTCTACTGAGCCTGAGCCTATAGGTTTGCTTTAGCACTAAACTTTCTCATCTATTATCAACCCTGGCGATCTCTGCTTTCATGATCAACATTTCTATATATTCAAGACCAAAGGCACTGCTCATACATGTAACTTCCATGCAGCCAGCATTCTCTGGAATGCATTTTTAAGAAGGGTTAAAAAGTGCAGGCTGAATCCATTTCAATTTCATAGTTTAATATTTAAAATACTTATCTAACTTAAGTAGCCACTACTAGAATTGCAAAATGTAACTTTCTGAAACAGAACTGTTCCTTAAGAAGCATCAGTTGTAACTGTTATGCTGTAAACTGGAACAGAATAGAGAATGAATGCCAATTTGCCATACTTTTATTTTTTCTTCCTCAATCTCCAACAATATTGACGCAGGAAAATTACAGAAGTACGAGCACAGAGGTTTGTGTTTTCTTCCCCTATGAAAAATCTGCTTCAGGATGCTGTACCGTACTGCTTGAAAATCTGTAATGTGCTTATCAAATAATCAAGTCATAATCCACTTAAATCAAACTATTTACAAGACCGGTCATTTGTGGCATGCATATTCAAATATTTGCTTTTTCATCAAGAATGTAGGCAAGAACTGAAAAATTACAGACACAAATTGCTTTAGTAAAATTTTTAGAATTGCCTCTCGTTTGGATCGGTCGAAACATCTTTATCATTGGTTGAGACCAAATTAAGAATTGCTTGTGTAAATATCATTTTAGTAGCTTCAGAAATGGAGCTGCGACAACTTGGGAGCATTTACAATGGCACAAAAGCATTCTGCTGCTCATCAAAGAGAATGTGTAGGCCAACAAGAGGTATCTTTTAAACCCCATGCTTCTTAAGGCACCCTGACAGCCCTCACGGACCCACGGCTCCCACTGATCTCAGTGGAAAATGCACGTGCGTAAGGGCTGTGGGGACGAGCCCTGTTAGAATTGGTTGTTTAAGAAACAAAGCTGTAAATGAGCAAACCTGGTTGGCTGTGGCTGTTGCAGCGAAGGGAACACTTGTGGCAGAAGTTGTTGCGGCGGACACAGTGGCTGGCGTAGCACCGTGCACCATGGGAACTTTCGGAGGGAAAATCATATAAGCAAACATACAGAAGAGTGTAGCAATATGGAAACCATGGCAACACGGAGGAGATAATTGGGCATGGCATTGATCACAGCGAGAAGCCATGTGGCAGGACATCACCACCAGCGAGTGACATGCAATCACAGTGCAAAGCAGGACAACATTCCAAGAAGAGGATGGGAAGGGGATGAAAGAGGAAAAAAAAAGGGGGGGAAAAAAAGCTTGTTACCATCAAATCAAGAAAATTGAACAGGCTTAATTCGCTAAGTCAAAACAAGAATTTTATGTAGTGTTCATAGTTAGACATTCAAAATCTAAGTCGAAATACAGGTATTTACTTCACAAACACAGTTATCTGAAGAAAATATTTTTTCTTATTCACTATTATAAAAATACACAGTATATTACTTTTATTATTTTTTTATTACTTTTTTTTTTTTACAAACCAGAACTCATAGTCCAATCAAAATCCACCAAGGGTGACAAAGGAAACCATTGTGTGTAAAGAAAACATTTATGTGAGTCCATGTCAATTAAATAGAAAATGACATTTAATTGACAGGTGTTAGTAAAAGGGAAATGGACTTGCCCAATAGATACAAGTTAAACTTAGCAGTGGATTTTGAGGGGCTCTGAGGTGCACCATAGGTTTAAGATAATCAAGAAACAAAGCCGGCACCTACCAACACTTGTAGCGGGTGTCATGCACAATATTGAGCCTGCCCATCATGCATTGCAACAGGAAGGTGGATTTGAAAAGGGAAAAGAATTAAAACATCCCATCACACGTGTAATTAGGAAATTCATTTGAACAAAGAAGAAAAATTGTTATTAATGGGAACAGTGGCATGTAACTATCAGCACAATCAAATCATACAATAGCACAGTGATCCATGAGAACTAGTCTCAGGTGAAGGTCAAAGCCAGTTGAACTGTGTGCTGGTACACTTTGTTTCTCTTCACTGCTGTCTCTAATACGAGGATTTTGGGAAACAAATTTACACCTGCTTAATTCTTTAAAGAATAATACTGGAATTTTGTTTTAATCTGGTTTCTTGCCATCTGGCTGCTATGCTATTTTTGACCCCAACATACTAATGTACAAGTGTTTTCTTTAAGTTGGAGACATGTTATATAATTGGAGGTATGAATCATTATTATGGTGGTAAATTCAATGAACAAAAGTGATTTAATGTAATGAATCCAACCATTCATTTTCCGTTCCCTTAGCTTTCTTCTCCTGCTCACTGCAGCAGTAACCACACAGAGAAGGGTTTTAATCACCCACACAGGAATTTTTCTTTAGAGGGACACCAAGCAAAAAATTAAGCATAAAAAAAGTGAAATGTCCATGTTTGCATAGTTTGGAATGACACAGCAAGAACATTCAGAGGAGATGTCATTTCTTCCATCTAAAACTGGTATATGTGGTGATAGATATACAGGAAAACAGTGTGGTTTTCATCGCTGGTTTCCACTTGCAAGGTTTCTTAGAACAGCGAAGTGTTACATAAGATTTCACACACAAAAAAAATCTGCTAGACAGACTTCAATAAAAACCCAAAGGGCAGGCAATAATAAAGAAGCAGATTTCATAAAATGAAGTGTCACCACCGCTGTTCGCAATCCTTTGACCATAAGTCTAAAAGAAGATTGCGGGCCACAACACTAAAAAGATAATCTCATCAAGCACGGGACACTTTCCAATACGAAGGGCCAACGCTCTTTCTATGAGATTATTCTAGATTTGAAAATACCAACTTATTTTACATTTCTATTTTAGATTTTTGGCAGATCCTATTTAAATACTAGTAGCATGTGGGCTGGACATTTGCTAGGAGGGAATCTGCCAACTAGCTGAGTTTTGTCATGGAGGGCCCTGCAGAACAAAGCTGCCATTGAGACACTGAACTGGAACACACACCACTTTACTGGCATCCCTGCAACAGCTGCAATTGGTCTGTTACCACGATCACACTGTCGGCCCTTGGATCAGCAGTGAGACCCAGCGATGAACACAGGGAAGCATCTGTTCAGGTGGAGTGCTAGCGCACTGGCGGACAGTAGTTAATAAACTGCAGGATCTCTGACTCTGCAACTACTGCTACGGATGGGTCAAACATTGGGGAAAGCAAACAGAGGAACAAGCAACATTAACGGTGGGTTTAGATGTTGCGAAACCACTCCCCTCTAACTGGAAGGCCAGAAGATTGGGAAAGAATAGATGAATGACAGAGAGTACATGTTACTGAAGGACTATGGAAATCCAGTGTAAGTACTGCAGTGATCATATTTAACGGCACTACTTCTTATGCTGTAGTTTGCCTACTGTGTCTCATTGCACATGTTGAACATGCATTAACCTTGCACCATCTCTCGAAAGCCCTGACACTTTCATGATTTGAATTTGAGCTTTCACTGTTGTCCTTCTTACCCCTATAACCAACGCACACAGTTTTGAGAGGGATATGCAACACAGAAACGGAAGGCAGCAATGGAAATACTAGCCAGGGTGCAATAATTCACAAATATGAAGACATAATGCTGTAGGACCCACTTACCAAACATTACAAAATCATTTTTGAAATGACCACAATGACCATCTTTATTTCAAACGGATGGATTTATTAATAATGATAATAGTTAAAGTTTTCTTCAGCTTTCAGCAAAAGGCAGAATTTAAGTGAATGCATTTGTCAATTTCCAATTACCACTACCAATATGTTTGCGAAGCAAAATGATGTGTTTCTGATGAGTGTGCTATTGAATTACACAAGTTGTAGAATTAAATTTTTAATGTGTATGCTTGTGCAAAAAAGTTAACTGGTATGTCAATTTACAAATGAAATGTATGCACAATTGAAACTACTTTGAGGGGAAGGGCTGGATGTAGAATAAAGAGTAAGAATTATAATGGAGAGCTGGCTGGGAGCTGGAATCCTGATGCGGTAACAGGTTTATTTAAGTTTATTAAGACAAGAAATATGACTGATTTAAGATGTACTAAAATTAATCATCATTTTAGAACTAAGATTTCACAATGAGTTGAGCTATTCCTTAAAACTCATGCCTTATTTATTTTTATCTAAAGTAACTCATTGTTATTTTTTACATTTATTAATTATAATTAAAGATGGAGAAGCAGGAAATATTTGTTTTCCCTCTATTAAAAAAATCCTATTCCAAGGCCTGGAGCAATAGCCTAGTGGTTAAAGTCCTCGTTTTGCATGCGCTGGGATCCCATATGAACACCAGTTCGTGTCCTGGTGGCCCCTTCCCATCCAGCTCCCTGCTTGTGGTCTGGGAGAGTAGCTGAGGACCACCCAAAGCCCTGGGACACTGCACCCATGTGGGAGACCCAGAAGAAGCTCCTGCCTTCAGATCGGCTCAGCGCCAGCCACTACAGCCACTTGGGGAGTGAGTTAGCGGCCGGAAAATCTTCCTATTTCTCTTCTCTGTATATCTGACTTTCCAATAAAAAGTAAATAAATCTTAGGAAAAAAGCCAACAATCAATCAAATCCCACTCCCCCACCTCCAGCTCACTACCATCACCTAAGAATGTTTTCAAGCTTTTCTTTTCCCCCCGAATTTCTGATCATTACAGCACAAGCCAAGTCAAGAAGGTAAGTTATTTAAAACAAACTTAGTTTTACCTTTCTAGAAATCAGAAGTCAACACTTGTTAGGAAGAGAGAAAAGTATAATGGGGATGACAGACAACAATGGAGTCAGAAAGCCTAAGAAAACTCCTCGGTGGGAAGCAGTGGGCAGCCTGCAGGACCACAGCGAGTCACTTAGGCACCGAGCCTGTTGCTTCGCAAGAGCCTTGCGCAAGCAGGTGCTCTAGGAGCACGGATGTCACGTGACCAGAAGCAGCATGGGAGAGAGGCTTTTACTCCACAGGGCTGTCACAGAACCCACGGAGGATCTGTCCTCCAGAGTCCTTGCCTGCCAAGCATGGACAGAAATCGTCGCAATGGGGACTGAAGAACGGAGGCTAGGGGCTCTTTTTGCAACACAACCACTCCGAAAACGTATTTCCAGAGTGAGGCTGGGAGGGAAGGCGGCGAGGGAGAGCCAGATCCTGAAGTCCCTGTATTATCTCTTATTTCTACCCGATTAACTGAGATTAATCGGATTTAATCTTCACTTAGATCTTAATCTAACACTCCTATTTCTCTTTCAGTTGATAACTGAGGTTATGGAATATTAGGCCCGAAGATGGTTCATTAGTAACGGCTGAGCTCCACCCCCTGACATCCATGCCTTAGATACCTTATAACTTGAGGCTGCAGGGCAGGTGGGGGGCGTGGAAATCCCTGAGCCCTTGCAAGCCTCCCAGTGTGTTCACTGGTTTAAAAAAAAACCCGGAATACTAATACTAACTTTTGGAGTTGTCGTAGGAAGAGATGCATGTGAACCGTCCAGCATGCCACAGCACATGACCATCAAACGTCGCTGCTCTTTTGGACAAAATGTGTGAAGCAACTTGGCCTCACAGGTTAGACGTGGCTGGAACTGGGCAGGATGTGTCCCACTGGAAAGATTCATATTCGGGCTCTTAAAAGAAGCACACTAGATTTTGCCCTTGGGCTGTGAGTTTGCAATTGCTAGTTCAAATATCAGTATAGTATTTGTCATGCAATCAATGCATGTCGAACAAAGCAACAAATGGTCAGAAAACAGGGGAGAACAGAAGATGGAAAGGAAGGGAGAGGAGCAAAAAAAAAGGACCAAAAAGGAAAAAAAAAAAAAGGAAGTTATGGATAAAACAGACTGGAGAAATAGATGCATGAAGATGGTTGGACAAGCAGCTGACACATGTGGTCCAGTTGCTTTTATAACCAGCGGGGCTGGGTTGCAACCAAACCCTGCCAGCAGCTCAGTCTGTACATCCAGCAGCACTGCTGTAACGTGATCGGAACAGGACTAAGCATCTCTCCCGTTATGAGGCAAGAGACTTCAGCGCTTTAAAACTCTGAGCTATAATAAATAAATGACGTCATTTCTTCCCGCCTCCCAAATGACACAAGTCAGGTGGGATGCTCTGACCAAATGGTTTTTGTATTACCTGTTTTCAGAATAACCTAGGATGTGGAAAAGGAGCTGCATCTTCTCTGTATCACACATGAGATGATGTCAGGCTTCCCTAGGGCAGATCTGTTTATTTCTCACAAGTTGATTCTGAAATATTGAATTAACGAGAAAAATCCCCCCCCCAAAAAAAAATCGGGAGATTTCAACTACAAATTTACTAATGCTGAGAATATCCGGAGAAACATCTTTCTACCCACGGACATGCCACCTTAGGGCTGCTCTGTCGGGTCAAGGAGCTCTGCACTACCAGGCCTAGGAGGCCCAGAGAGAGCCATCTTCCTTCTCGGGAGGGACTGTGGTCACGCGGGCTCTGCAGGTGACACCTTGCTCCTGACACCTTGCCAGGCAGGTATGTCTTGGTAGCAAAACAAACAAAATAACATAACAACAGCCAAATAAATAAACAAAAACAAAAACCCAAAGCTTGCATCTGAACAGTGCCATTTCCTTGCGACCAGCCCTGCACTCGCCAGTGCCTCCCCCGCCTCTCAGGCCTCATTTATTTCCTGCTTTACTGGTTAATGTCTCCTGATGGGTCCTTAAGGGCTCTGACTTTCATCCACTGCAACCAACTTCTCCCCTTCTGACAGACAATGTTTTGCATGTCCATTGAGCCAATCACTACATTTAGAGACCCCTTCCTACGTGATGAAGAAAATGTGTTTCAAACTATCACGCGATCTCTACTTTTTATTACATGGATAATCAAAGTCAACCTCTGGCTTCCGGGTTTGAACCAAAGTTGTAGCTAAGTGGTACTCTGCATGATGACTGCAACGACTTCAAATATTCAGAACAAAATATCTTTGATGCAAAATGCATAGAAGCGGAAATAGATACAATCTCCAGCATATTGTAACATATTTCAGCACATTTTGTTGAAATGAATAATGCTTTTTGGAACACAGGAACCAATGGGATGTTAGATTTATAAGATGTGTCTACTGTCTTAACGAACTTGACTCTCATCTAGCATCTTCTGCTCTGTCCACTCGCTGACCAAAAGTCCTTCTGCAGAGATGCTACCAGCAAAAAGGATGGTCACACAGCTCATGCTCCCAGATCAGCCCGGCCCAAGGTGGCCCAAGCTGGCCCAAGCTGGCCCAAGCTGGCCCAAGCTGGCCATTGGCCAATCAACAGTTGGGAGGTATTTCTCTCCCTCTCTCCAAATCTTCCAAATAAATAAGTGTATTTTTTTCAGAAAGTTTACTATTTATTCTGCATACAACAGGGCTGTTTTGGAAGCTGTACTCTATAAACAGATGTGCTGAGCAGCAAAAATTATTAAAAATATTAACTTAAATTATTTTATGGGCCCAGCGCAGTAGTCTAGTGGCTAAAGTTCTCTCCTTGCATGCCTGGCTTCCCATATGGATACGGGTTCCATTGCGGCCACTTGGGGAGTAAATCAACGGCCAGAAGATCTTTCTGTCTCTCTTCCTTTCTGTGTATCTGACTTTCCAATAAAAATAAAAAGAAAAATCTTATAAAAATTATTTTACTGTGGGCCCAGCAAGGTAGCCTAGTAGCTAATGTCCTCACCTTGCATGTGCCAGGATCCCATGTGGGTGCCAGTTCTACTTCTGCCTGCTCCATTTCTCTTCTAGCTCCCTGCTTGTGGTCCAGGAAAGTAGTAGAAGACAGCCCAAAGCCTTGGGACCTTGTACCTGCGAGGGAGACCTGGAAGAAGTTTCTGGCTTCCTGCTTTGGATCAGCTCAGCTCAGGCCATCGCAGCCACTTGGGGAGTGAATCGGTGGATTAAAGATCTTTCTCTCTTTCTTCCTCTCTAAAACCTGACTTTTTAGTAAAAATATATAAACCTTCTAAAAAATGATTTTCTTACAAGTGTCTCTGAGCTCAATATACCATTAAATGTTAAGATGGAAAGAGGAAAGTAATATTAGAGCTACATGATGAGGAACTAAATGTGTGCTTTTATGAAATGAATTCAAAGTAGGAATTAGATGTGTGCTTTCATGAAATGAATTCAAAGTAGAAAATAATAAATCTTGTAGACATTTATTCAGTTGCTTGTATGCTTCTAACTTTTAAATTCAGGTTTGTGTATGCCACCAAGTTGAAAATGAAGCGAAACCACAAACTGTAAAACTTAATGCACGTCAGTATCGCTGGATATCAGGTCCACTTCATTTTTAGCTTCTGAATGACAATAATTTGGTATCGTGTACTGTCTGGGCCAGAAGGAGCACTTTTTAAGAGCTCTAAAACATAAAGGCAGTTATTTATTCTCTACCTTGAAAACCAAATTGTTGAAAAATTTGCAGAATCAAAGCTGAAAGTCATTTCATATGATCCAAATGAACAGTCCCATGAGGCGGGCAAGGGGTCTTACAGCAGCAGCGTTTCATCAAATAGCCTGACAGACACAGAACAGTGTTGGGGAAAAGGGGCCAAAAGAAGGAAATCGCATTTCAATTCCAAATGACACAAATGCAAGGAATACAGGAGACACAAGTGACGGACACTGCACGTTCCGTTGACCTAGCATCCTTAGTTTTAAGGAGAACCACGTGAGAGCGCTCACATCCACCCCAGCTGTTGAGCACCTTACCTGACTCCTGAGCTAGGGCTAGGAAGAGAGCTGAGTCATGGTGTGTCTGCTCTAGCAGGGGGACTCTATACAAACCATCAGATGGACTTATGACCAAGCCCAGCTCCTTACCTGGTGGGAGGAAGGTTGTATGCTGCTGTAACTGCATGTTGGCTAGAGCCTGTTGGTATTGGAAAATACCAGTGTTAAAGACTGCGGTGGCACCGTTGGTTTTCTCGAGAGCAGGTCTCTTTGGTAATGGGGGAAGTACAGCTTGAGGGATGCCCTGTTTAGTGAACGAGTATAAAAAAAAAAAAACAAATACCAGTAAAAAGAGAAAAGAAAAAAGAAAAATCAGTAGAAGGCTAAAATTGTTAGAAAGCGCGAGCAAGCGAGCAGTGGGGCATTCAACTACCCGGGGGGGAGGGGGAATCCAATCAACAAAAAAAAAATCAAAGGTGGGGGGGCGGGGAAAGCAAGATACAAGCCTTAAAGGGAAGCATTATTTTTAATTACCAAACCTCACTAGTAGCACATGTTACAGTGTGTTAAAGTGCTTTATGCCCCATAATGCTTCAGGCTTTCTGTGAGAAGCCATTGATTTGGGGAGAGAAGAAAGCTGCATTGCGAGCTCCATGAGGACTGACGGCTATAAGCAATGTTAATTGTTAATAGTACAGACTGACTACAGTGGATCAAGTACGGACTCGTCCCACTCCGCTCCTCCCTCCCCCGTCTACCTCCACATGCAAATGTCCCAGGGCATGCAATTCTGCTTCTTTTACATACTAGAGTATAAATATTAAAAAGTCACGATTCTACCACTAAAGCCATGCTAACCAACAGGTACATAAAAAATAACAGTCAAAATACACTTTAAGGTCCTCCAGGTATCTCTTTAGAACATCTTTACAATGTAGTCAAACTGAATGTGGGCTGCTGGCCTTTCAGAATCTCTCGTCACATGACATTGTTCATGTTATACTCTTTCCGCCAATTCGTCAGGAAACCACACTCAGTTTTTTTGTTTTTCATTGTACTTTCAACGTTACAACAGAAAAAGGAATATATATATTTGTAAACTGATTTAAAAAAAAAAAACACCTAGTATCTACAATAAAGCTACATGCCAAGCTAAAAGGTGAAAGGTCATAGTACCAGGTCAAAGGTTGCCTCGAGGGGTCGCTTCAGTGATCTGACAGCCGACTGAGTCTTAATTAGCAGGCAGCGAGCACATGATGGCAATGGGCCAGTGGGGTTCAAGCGCATTAACATAAACAGCAAGCAGAGGTGCATCATGGGGGCAGCAGTGCATTTTTTTGGGTAGGTGAGAAAAAACAAATAAAAAAACAAATCATCGGAATGCCATATACAACGAATAACAAGACTAAGCATGCACAATAAAGGCATTATCGAGTCCTTGTTAGGTGGAGGACTCCTCTTTGTAGTTAATTACAAACAAGATACTCTAACAGAAAAAAAAAAATAAATAAAGAGTGGAAGGAAGAGGGGAGGAGAGAGTCTGCCTTCTGTATTTTTGCTCAAGTACCCATAAACCAACACAGAGAACTCTCTCATTACTGCGGCACTGTGCCGGGCAAAACCACGCAGTGATTTTTTTTTAATGTTTTAGGGATCACTTCATATATTTATGTCAAAAAAAAAAAAGGACAACAATAAAACAGCTAAGCAAAGGACAAAGGATGGACTCGTTCAAATCAGCTACTAGATGACAGTAAAGTTGACCTTAGGACTGCGGCCTAGCTCCTATGCTGAATGGTCCAACTCCTGGCTTCCCAAGCTCGCGCTCTCCTTTCTGCATCACGGCACAGTCCAGCTTTCCTAAATTTACAGTCATGGTTTTGCCACTGTATCATTCCAATACATGCAGCTGGCAGACCATTGGAAATCCCGTAGCTGATTCTAGAAATAATTGTGGCGAAGCGTTTCCCTTACAGAGCTCCAGCTTGCTAGTTTGGAAAGCGAGAGACTTGTAAAGGCGAGCCTTGATGTGAGAAAGAACACACCAGGGGGGAACGATGCTTGATTAAACGGAACACAGAAATAGGAAGACCAGAAATGGCAAAATCGGTAAATTGAGAAGGAGCTAGGTGGTTCTTTGTGAAGCAGAAATTGCAGAAACCCTACATTTAGAACGAAACAGAGTCTAAAGCGTTAGGCCACGAGGAGGGGCACTCTGACCCGTCTGAGGGGCAGCCTCCCTGCTGGGAATGCTAATGCGTATTGTCTGGGATACCTGAACAAACATATCTTCAGCAAAAATTGGAGAAAAAAACAAAAACAAAAACAAAAAGAGGTTAATAAATGGACAGCCTGTAGTCAGACAGTTTGCTCACTTGGCTTTCCGGCTTCCTCACAACGAGAGAGCAGGTGACCTGTACTCACCATGGCAGCTGCGGTGGCTGCGGCCTGAGCCGCGGCAGCCTGGTTGACCTGGTACTGCGCGGCCTTGATCTTGGCTTGCAGATGTGCGGGGGGGTGAAAGTATTTGCACTTTTCCCGAGAGCATCTGCCTTTGATGTAATCCATGCACACGGTGACCGTGTTGTCATTCGTGTCAATCATTGTGCTGTCAGCAGGATGGGCGAACCGACAATCATTCTCGCCTCTGTTGCAGTTGCCACGCTGGTACTCCCGGCACACCTGTGAAGGCCAAGGGGCGCACGGTTCAGTCAACAAGCTCAACCAGAACACCAGGGACTGGCGATAAAACCCACAGGCGAGCGAGTAAAACAGCCCTGCACGCTGTGTACAAATACTTAGGAAAAAGAAAAGGAAACCGCTGTATCAACTAAGGGAACAAGTGAGACTACATTGCTATGCTTACTTATTAATTACCCAGGGCAAAACAGAAACCTCACAGTTAAGAAAAGGTGGCAGACATCACCTTTCCCAAGAGATCCACGTTACCAGCGCCAGTAAGGAGACCACTGTGCCATCTACTGATCGAAAAGGGTGCAACAAGGAGTGGGTGCTCAACACAGCAGGGAAACCCCTCCCAGGACACCAGCATCCCATACCAGCGTCGAGCTCCACCCCGGCTCCTTCCTTCGGAGTCAGCTTTACGCCAGGCATCACCCCGGAAGCAGGCAATGATGCTGCAGGCTCTAGGGTCTATCTCACGGGCAGGTACCCAGGTGGCATGTCAGACGCCTGGCTTTGGACCAGACCCAGCTCTGGCTGTGGAGGAGCGAATGAACAGACAGAAGATGCCGTCTCAGTCTACTTCTGTTTATCTTCCTGCCTTTCAAGCAAAAGCCAAAATAAAACATTCTGAAAGGGTAAAATACCACTTCAATATAGCCCCCATTTGCTCGTGGGGAAAACATCAGATACAGGGAAGGGAGAATGCTTCACAAAATCTCTGGCTTCCAAAGCGCCAGAGTTCCAAACTGGAGTCAGAAGACGCTGGCAGAAAAACTGGGAAAATCGGATTCAGTTCTGTGCGTTGAATATGGTACTGCATTAATGCAAGGGTTCCGCTTTTATAAGTGATACTATAAATGTAAGAGAAATATCTGTTTCAGTACAGAAGGCGGGAGATCTTAGGTACATTCTTGCAACCTTGGGGTGAATCTGACATGATTTCCAAATGAAAAGCCTGAAACACTTCGACAGCTTCCTATTCCACCGCTTCCAGGAGATTTTTTCCTAATCAGTAGAGACTCATTCGATAGTCCTACAAAGAAGGCAGCAAAGATTCATTTTGCCAATGTCTGTTTCACAACTGTTAATTTTGCCTTGATCATCACAGATTTAATGTGACAATGATACTGTGCCATTTGCTCAGTCATCTTCATTTGGGATAGTTTGTGCTTTTGGCCAGAAGAGGGCCACCTGCAACACAGAACAAACTTCATACTTTCTGCCTAGCGCCTTATGCTTCAAGGAAACTGTTTTTATTTCTACAAATTTTTTCAGACTTGAGCAAATGCAGACACTGAACATTTTATGTTGGGTTTCATCACCATTAGGAAGATATACCCCTCCTGTGATGAAAAAAGTGTTTTCTAGGATTTGTATTAAAAAAAAAAAGCGATCATCGCAATTAAAATTATTCTCCCAGCACCTCCCTCCATGACATTCCCTTGCTATTCCCGAGGAAAACCATTCTTAGCAAGGACTCTAATCTGTACTGTGCTACATACTGAAACAATATTAGAAACTGCATCCTGCACTAATTGAAATCTCAAGCTGGCTAAAACTCTGCGTCGCCAACACACAAGCAATGGACCAATTGCATTTATCGCTTTGTTCAAGGCAGAACATCTAGATCGGTACAGAGCTTTCAGAAAATAGATTCCCAGTAACCAACCTGAACTTTAAGAGCAATGACCACAGCCAGGGCGAGGCACAGCTAGACTGCAGAGAAGTAAAAACTGTCTACAAATATGCAGGAACTCAAACTATACACTCAGTTCACACACTATCATATTAAAAAGGTGGGGCCCAGGGTGGAAGCTTAGTGGTTAAAATCCTTGCCTTGCACATGCCAGGATCCCAAATGGGTGCCGGTTGTAATCCTAGTGGCCCCACTTCCCATCCAGCTCCCTGCCTGTGGCCTGGGAAAGCAGCAGAGGACAACCCAGAGCCTTGAGACCCTGAACTCGTGAGGGAGACCTAAAAGAGTCTCCTGGCTCCTGGGTTTGGATTGGTGCAGCTCTGGCCATTGTGGCTGCTTGGGGAATGAATCAGCAGATGGAAGATCTTCCTCTCTGTCTCTCCTCCTCTCTGTATAACTGACTTTCCAATAAAAATAAATCTTTTTTTTTTTTTTAAAAAGAAATGTTTAAGAATCCTTGGTTACTGGGAATTAGTTCAGAAGTGTTCTGAGATCAGCCTTATCTGAATTCCACACTACTCCGCCCATTGCTTTTGCATTTGAATGATTTGCTAAGTTTTATTTCATCTTTTCCAACTTAAAATTCCGATGGCATGAGAAATGGGAGACAAAATAATATTCCCACTATTGCTGCCTTAAAAAAAAAAAAAAGGAAACAAGCTTGTGAAAACTTGTTCTAGAGAGAGGTGCAGGATGGAGGGGCAAGACAAGTTTGGGAAGCATTCTCTCGCTGGGTACATTTCTGAAGAAAACACAAATTCCAGAACTTTCCGGATTCGTTCATCCCTCCGTAAAATGGAACCTACTGCTTGCCTAGGGGTATGGACTTGGCCTGGTTTCTCTGGTGAACTCAAGGAAAGTTTAGACTATACCCACTTCCAAAAGAAATCTCTTAGAAACAGTATCAGCTAGGCAAATTATTTTTCAGAAAACTTTCAAGAAACTAACTGTCCCAATTTAAATCGGGATAAGAAACTGCAAGATTTACGAGGGAGTTTGATGAGGCAAAAATAAATCTGAAATTCCTAACCACAATTATTCTTTCTCTTCTTTAAATAGTTGCAATTACAGAACTGGAGTAAAGCTACGATTGGCGATCCTTGGGCCCACTAACAGGGGAAACCCCTTTTCATTTTTTTTTTTAATACAGCCCAGATTGACTATTTTTGAGACGGGATCAAATTTCATCAAATACTCCGAATAAAAACGAACTGCTTTAGAAGAGAGATTGTTTCCAACAATCCCATATTGCAAACGACATTGCAAAGAATACATTCATGACTGTAGGCAATTTTAATTACTGCTTAAATATAAATCTGCAGAAATGACATTAACGTGACTCCAACAGAAGTGCCTTCTGTATCTTTATAAACGGCATAAAACTTAAATTAACATAAGACCTACTTAGCTACATACACAATGCCACTCAAAGAAAAAAAAAAGTTCAGGGTTGTGCTCCACAAGCATTAACAAAGGATTTATTCTGGATATCAGGGAGTTTTATAAACTCAACAAATTGAGTGGAGTTGCTTTTACAGTAAAAATCAACATTCCAATGAGGAAAGTCACTAAAAATATTTAAACTTATACAACCGATTCTTTAAAAACTATGGAATAATTATAAACTTTACTTGTAAAAAAACACACACTCACCAGAAAAAATTCCCTTTAAAATGTCAATTATTTCTAAATAAACCTGTTAATTAAATACTAAAGCTATAGTAGAAAAAGAATAAATTTGAGTCAGAATGATGGGTTCAAGTTTCTATTCACAAACTATGAACTCTTAAAAAGAAAATATTATTATAACACCTATTTTAAATGATTATTGATGTTGAATAAGATAGCTTATAACCATACAAACTGATCTCCATTTTAAACATGAGTGGCCTATTTCTATGTTTTTTTTTTTTTTCTTTTAGATGTATTTATTTTTATTGGAAAAGCAGATTTACAGAGAGGAGAGAAAGAAAGATCTTCCATCCACTGGTTCACTCTCCAAGCAGCAGCAACAGCTGGAGCTGAGCCAGTCTGAACCAAACCCAGGAACCTCTTCTGGTCTCCCACCTGGTGCAGGATCTCAAGGCCATGGCCATCCTCGACTGCTTTCCCAAGTCACAAGTAGGGAGCTGGATGGGAAACGAACAGGCATCCACATGGGATGCTGGCGCTTGGAGACGGAGGATTTGGCCAACTAAGCCATCATGCCAGGCTCCCTCAGGGGCATATTTCAAAATGGTCAAAATAATACTAAATCTTATAAGTAATTTTCCAGTAAGCAATTCTATAATTAATGCATTGGGATTCTGAGAAAGTTAATGTCAATGCTTCAGTTGACTAAAAATCAATTTTATTTGTATGCTTTTCAAGAAGAAAACCTTGTGAAAGACTATCATTTGTGTTCACCATATCTGTGCAATTAACAAGTAGTTAATTTTTGTAGTGCTGTGTGGGCACAGACAGCTACTTAATTACAGGAAATTAGGAACCCTATTTACTTAAATATTTGGGGAAGTCAATTTGAAACCTAATGCCTGGACCGGACATGGTAGTCTAGTGGCCGAAGTCCTTGCCTTGCCTATGCCGGGATCCTATATGTGGGTGCCAGTTCATAACCCAGCTCCTCCACTTTTCTTCCAGCTCTCTGCCTGTTGCCTGGGAAAGCTATAGAGGACGGTCCAAGGCCTTGGGACCCTGCTCCTGTCTTAGGAGCAGCTCAGCTCCAGCTCTTGCAGCCACTCAGGGAGTGAACCCGCAGATGGGAGAGCTTTCTGTCTCTTCTTCTCCTTGTATATATATATCTGCCTTTCCAATAAAAGAAAATAAATCTTTAAAAACAAAACAAAAACCCTAATGACCAGGGAGGGTGTTGGTCTGGGGGTTAATACAAACTGGAATGCCCACATTTCATCATGGCTGTGTGGGCTTGAGGCCAAGTTCCTCTCCCTGTTCCAGCTCCCTGCTCAGACATACCCCAGACTGTACCAGCTGACGGCCCCAGCAGCTGGCTCCCTGGCACTCTGAACTCCACTGAGTTCTGGCTGTCAGTTTCACCTGCCCCAACTCCGGCTGTCGCGGGCATCTGGGGAATGAACCATTAGGTAAGAGCCATGTTGACTATCTGACCCTGCCTCTCTAGTAGCAACAATGACAGTAATAAAAATACAAAAGAAAACAATGCCAAATATCAAGGTGCATACTCCATGACATACACATACATGCTATTCAACAATGAACACCTTAGAATGAATTTCCCATGAAGCTCAAGCTTCTAGAATGTTTCAAAACTGGAATACTGAAAAACCGACACTGCTGTCAAAGTTTCCCACAGTCCTCTGGGTCACAGACTTAAAATTTAAAGCAAACAGATCTATATTTTCAATTTTAAAAAGGATCAAGTTTCCCTATTTTACAATTCTGGTAAAGGAGATGCTCGCAGCCCACGCGCTACAGCACGGCATTCCCGAGGGAAGTACCGACGAGGCGATTTCCAACAGCAAGTACGTTTTCCAACAGTTTCACAAGTCTGGTCTATCTCCCTTCCTAAAACAATAATAAGACACCAACTCTAGCTACTTCGAGTGGATTTTGATAATATCAAGTGGGATTTCTCCATGAAATCTGAAAAAGCAGACCCTATCAGAGTGTGACACCCAAGAACGCAAGGCTATTCATATATATTCATAGTCTAATAGAACTTATACCTACAAATCCTCCACTCTATTAAGAAACCACATCTGGATAAAGAGTACCCAATAGAACAGCTGGTAAACTCATTTCCAGGTTTTCATTCATTCCTTTCATGAAGGATTTGCATGCTCAATAGAAGGAAAACCAAACAGAAACTGGCAGCACTTTCATCTGCCTATCAAAACGATTCACTCCACACTTCCTTGCACTGCCCTTTCTAAATCACTACAGAGAGTGTCACTGCAGCTTTCAATTAGATGAGGATATTAATGAAAGAATGGTAAAGCACATTTCCAAGGGGAAGATTAACAAATGTTCCTCTGTTGGATTACCACCTATGCTGTAACTAGGGGCATGCTCTATTCTTTCTATGATTCACTGAGTAACTTCTACTGGCCCATTTCCTCATTCATCTAGCAGGTTGCTGGGCGTCAGAAGACATTTCCTTGTGCTTACTCATCAACAGTGAGCAGGTCTGAAGCCCACTCTGCTCAGTGTGCTTTACCTGAAGGCTTCCACGCTCCAACACTGCATGCCGTTGAACAGAGAGAGCATTCTTGGATCCTTTTGTTATAGAAAAGGCTGTGCAGCTTGCAAATAACTTAGTGATTTCCTTGATGACCAATTTTTCGTTACTAGGCAGCGATATCACTAAAAACGCAGTCTTGGCCAGTACGCACAGATTTTAAGAATTCCTTAAGGTAATCATTTGAAGCAAACAGCTGAGTGTTAGCTATGGGAAGGTATTCCAAGGTCACAACTGGAACTTTCAAAGCCACATTTCAGACACTGAGACGTAAAGGATTTGCTACTCTCCAGAGAAATTAGTGAGTCTGAATTTTCACATTAGAAAGCATATGGTTACAGAGTGTTTAAAAAGGAAACCAACATACAAAGGATCATTTGAATATTACGTATAACGATAACACACACACATACACACACACACACACACACACACACACAGGAAGGTGGACTATTTCAAACTTTGTGGAAAAGAACGAACTGAATGGCATGTATTTTAGCACAAAAATCATTTGAGGTTCGCATGAATTTTTTTTCATAACGAGTGTTTACCATGATCTTTTCAAGAACTTAGATATATGATACATACTTTTTCCCTATATAAGTTTTAAAATGAATCTTTCAATAGCTTAAGCCTGGTCATGAAAGCAGGCAACTTATCTAAATGCCTCCAAAATGGTGTAACGTAAGGTGACCTTAGGATTACCTAGCACACCTTCCTTATTCTGTACCCGAGCAATACAAAGCCCAGCGTTGGAGAGCCCGGATCCAAGCTTGCACATCTAAGAGCATGCCGTGCAATAATCCTTGGGTCCTGCTTTTCTGTTAATATTTGTAGTAGCATTACATTGAGCGCTGTGAATGTGTCAATTCTAAACAATTAGAAAGAATCAGAAGGCGCAAATCTACAGAATTCTAAACGTCTTTATTGTTTAACAAGTTGTGGTGGAAAAGGAGATACAGACGCTGTAAACAGAACTGGCCAGTATTTTAACTGAGTTAGAAAATTTTTAACTTGGTGGAAACTGAAAATTTTAAAATGTCCTCGCGTTTCAAAAGAAAACATATAGATTCCAACTTCAGAGAAACAAGTGTGGCCCATTAATAAGGAAGTGTATGCACCACCGCGTCTCTTTCAGACCTCAAGACGCGGTGTCATTTAGACAGACTGTCTAAAGTAACAGCACAAGGAAGACGCAGCTCCCAGCTTCACACTGCGAGACCCAAACACGTCCATGATCTGACACCGCGTCAGATTCTGTTAACACGATTAAGAAGAGTGCACTACCATCATGTACTTAGACAAGCCGACTCTGGGTTTGCAGAGGGCGACAGCTGATGGGGCAGGAACTATACTTGTAATTCCAGCAAAAAAACAAAACAAAACAAAAAAAAAACCAGATACAATACATGCTGTTGTGTTTCACAAAAATAAAAACAACACACCAAGCTACCAAGCCCCCCTTGGAATGAAACATTACAAAATATAATAAATGGTAGATGACTTAGCATTGTGGAAGGATTCATTTAGAAGAGTTCTGAACCCTCAGCTCAAAGCCCTCATCCTGTTTTTTTTTTTCAGTGTCATCTTGTATTAATAATTAATTCTTTAAAGTTCATTTCAGACTGCCTGTCTGGATCCCATTAATCAATCAACAATTACACATTAAGAATCCAGGCTTTGCTTTAGAAGGGTCAAGGGGAATAAAACCACTTCGCATGCTGAGCACCCAATCACTCAAAGTACTTTAGAGTCACTAAACTTTCGTATGGTTCCGCTAGAGACAGCATCAGTTAGCTAGTGAGCAAGTTCAGTTTTGTAATGACATACTATCCCAAATTCCAGCTGCATGTCTCTAGCAAGAACACGCTGATTTCACTTCTCTTCATTACAACTGACTGGGAAAAATGGAATTGTATATTCCTTGGTAAGACTGGAGGAATAAATTTGTGATGTTATACAGCTACAATATGCTGACATAAAACCAGATCTTCTTTAATACATGTTACCAAGAAACTGCGGAGATGAGGCACAGTGCGTTAGCAGCCTAATCTTGTGCCTGCAGCTCCAGCATCAAATATAGGCACTGGTGTGTGTATAGCCTGCCCCACTTCTGATCCAGCTCCCCGTTTATGTTCTGGCAAAGCAGCAGAGGCTGGCCAAGTCCTTGTGTGCCTGCATCCATGTGGGAACCCCAGAACAAGCTCCTGGCTTTGGATCACATACCTCTGGCCTCTGTGGCCATTTGGAATGTGAACCAGTGCATAGAAAACTTTTCTCTCTCTCTCTCTCTCTCTCTCTTTCTCTCTCTCTCTCTCTCTCTCTCCTTCTCTTCTCTTCTCTCTCCTTCAAATAAAAATGAAAAGACTCTTTAGAAACAAATGTGGAGCAACTGTTCAAACATCAGGAAGATGTTCCTTGGACGACCTTGATCCCGTGGCGGAGGACCTGAGTTTGACTCACGGTTCTGTTTCCTGCCTAACGACATGAGCGTAAAGTACCTGGCTCCTTGCTACCCGCTTGGGAGACACCGAGTCCCAGGCCCCTGGTTTGATTTGGCTCAACTCAGCTGCTGCCAGGATTCAGGCAGTCAGCCAACTTTCTGTCTCTCCTAAACTTTCAAATAAGTGAGTAAGTAAGCAAATAAATAAATAAAAATTAATAATGCAGTTGCTTTTTAACTAAACTGTTAAATGGACAATTTTATTTATTTTTTTTACCATCAATCTGCTGCTTTCCCAGAAAGTAATACATGCAGAACATCTTAGTGCTCGATACTGCCTCATTCTTACCTAAGGAAAGAGGAAAAAGTGATTTCATTCCGAACTATGTGGGTTCAGAACCAGGGTTACACCTTCCGTGTACAATAACGTTGCCCCTTTTCCCTGTAGCTCACCAGATCTGTTTATTCACAGCCATGCAGAAACTCTGAACAAACAGTTCAAAGTTACTCTGTGTTATTTTCCCCCCACAGGATGTACTTACTCATTTATTTGAAATGAGTCACAAAGGGAGGCTCAGAGAGAGAGACAAGGAGAGAAAGAGAAAGAACGGCAAAGAAGAAAGAGAGAGAATCTTCCATCCGTCAGCTCAGCTCCTGCTGTTCAAAGCAGCAGGGACTGGGCCTGGCAGAGAACAGGAGCTTGGATGCCCAAGCAGGTGGTCCAGCTTGGTAGCAGGGACCCAAGTACACGAGCTCCCTTTCCAGGTCCACAAGCAGAAGTGGCGTCAGAACAAATAGTTGGGACTTGAATCAGAGAGTCTGACCCAGAATCCCGAGCAGACCAGCATACCCCTAAGTTGTGCAACTTCGGTTTGCATGCAGCAATATCAGTGTGCTCATCCCTGATTTCAGAAATCAGGATGATCACGATGTTTCCCATTTTATAAGAATGCACTTTACAAACAATGCCATCTTGCTGTTTAATAGAGCACTGTGCATTGCATGAGGATGTGTTCAACGATGAGCTTTAAAATATCTGCACAGTAATGAATAACTGTCACATCTTTATTAACAGAAACAAGAACACTTAGGAAGCACCTGCACTATGAGGTACTATTAACCCTAAAGGGAGTGCTGTGGTAACAACCATTTTAAAAAGGAGGAAGCCCAGGCAGCCTCACTTCACCTGCCATTCACAAGTGGATGCTCTGAGGCATCAGATTCATCAAATACATCACACGTCACTCTAGGAACTCTAGGAAAACATTTCAACCACTAAACCAGAATCTCTGCTTTGAGTATTTAAAATCTTTTTGGCCAAGGGATTAAGAAAACCAATGTTGGCAATTGAATGAAGCACAAGGAAACAAACTGATTATCCTCACCTCAAGTCTGTCCGTCCGCATTAATTTCTGTGCAGCAGCTGCAGCAGCTGCAGGTACAGGGACTCCAGGATTCCCTGTGACCAACATCGGTGCAGTCGGCAAGATCTCTGCTGGAACCAGGCTTGGGGAAACAGGTCCCAGATAAGGATTGAAGGCTGCTGACGCGTTGGTGGCTAAGCTGGGTGCAACTGAAAACATTGGCTGAAAAACAAAATGAAAAGCAAAATTAAATATGCAGGTCTTAGGCCACTCACATATATATGTATTATTTAGCCATCCATCTCCTATGCTTCCTTCTTTCCCTCTTTGAAAATCTGCTTCTTTACTTTTAGTTAGGACCAGGATGCTTTACTAAATAAACAATCATCAATTCAATGTTTGCCTAATGTAAACACTTTTTAAAAGCTTCACACACACACACACACACACACACACACACACACACACACACACACACACACATTCAGTTTACTGGAGAACTAGAGATTTTCCAACTATCCACTGCTCTGCTTCACAAATGCCAAAAACAGCTGGGGTTGAGCCAAGAAAAGTCAGGAGCCTTCACTACTAAATCCAGGGCTTCTAAACGAGTAACAAAGACCCAAATATTTGAACCATTCAGTATCTGTTCCTCCCCCAGGTCGCACACTTCCAGAAAGCTGGAATGTGGCCATCCCACGTGGTTATTTACTGCTGTGTCAAGCATCCTCCCCTTTCTAAACAGGTAAAAAATTCTTTAAGCCCTCCCGTGGAATTTTGAAGTGTTGGGCCTATAATAGTTGTCATTTTTAAAAACCAATGGATTACCCATTCTATCAAGCAACTCTGGCTACTTGAATTATGTGTTTGTTTTGGTGTAATTCATAGAAACTTGTCTATGAAATATACATAATAACTGCTATGTCAGATGCACCTGAAAGATTACAACTGTTAATAGCTCGCAAGTCCCACTATGCCGAATAAATCAGACCTCCCAAGAGATAAAAGTTTCACAGTCAATATGAACTGTAAATAAATTTCAAAGAGTATATGAGAGGTGATGATGACACTCTTCCTGAGCATATAAGGTAAAGTGTTCGGTATAAGACTTGATGCAGATTTTTCACGAGTAATCAAACAAGGAATTCATCTTACGAGGGGGAAAGCTGAATGTGAATCGTGAAACAGAATGCCGGGAGAGACATGTTACACGCTTGTTCAAGCAGACACACATGATAACATCAGATACTGCCCCAAGGCTGAATTTCTGCCAGAAATTATTTAAAGGATTCATAAATATTGTTTTTATTTGCTGACATGTAAACTGCATATTATAAAATAAATACGTTCTTGAACAGTACTAAGCAATGTATCTGCAATCTACTTTGATAATTCTGCTTCCAGTTTTTAAAATACAACACTATTTCCTATTTTATCAATGCTACATTTTTTTTAAGATTTATTTATTTTTACGGGAAAGGCGGACCAGATTTCACAGAGAAGGAGAGGCAGAAATAAACATCTTCCATCGACTGGTTGACTCCCCAAATGGCTACAATGGCCAGAGCAGAGACGGTCCAAAGCCTGGAGCTTCTTGTAGGTCTCCCACAATGGTGCAGGATCCCAAGGAATTGGGCCACCATCCTCTGCTGCTTTCCCAGGCAGTAAGCACGATGGGAAGTGGAGCACCTGCGACAGGATCCGACACCCAGATGGGATCCCTGCACTCACAAGGTGAGGACCTAGCCGATCAAGCCAGCGTGCCAGGCCCAATGCTCCATTTCCAACTTCCTAACTCAACTGTGTTTCAACTCTTGAAGTCCAATGCTTTATGCAATAACATTTATCATAAAAACAGATAATATCAGTCACCTTCTTTATCAAAGATTTTAGCAATTTTTTTTTCTATTATAGTGCCAAGGAAGCACAGATTTGTTTTTTTCTGCAATGAAAAGATTCAAACAGAGTTCATCTTCTCTCCGAGAGGAACTGAGAACTTCGAAGACCTAAAAGTATATATACGACTCAAGTAAGACTTTAGAGTAAAACCTTACATAAGGCTCGATGTGCTGCAAAAAAAAAAAAAAAGCCCTTATAGCAAAAGTATGTAGGAAAATAAAATAAAATAGAGCCTTTACCTAATCTGTTCCTCACTCAAACTGTGTTCAGAACATTAAAGTAGAATTTAAGTATTCCTTTTTTCCTCGGTCAGTGGTTCTCAACTGTTGGTGACCGTGTCTTGCAGGGGACATCTGGCAATGTCTAGAGGTCATTTTGGTTGTCGCAGCTGAGCAGTGCTGGCTGGGCCAGAGATGCTGCCAGGTGCCCCCAACACTAAGTCAGGTCCCCCTAGCTCCAGGGCGCCTCTGCCAAGGCCCACACTGTGCTAAGGGCCGCACTGGCCACTTCGCCTCCCACAGCCTGAAACCACGGCTCTGCAGTTAGCATCTACACACTTGTTAAGAGTAACGGGAAAAGCAGAAGATCTAAAGCAAGCTTGCTTTTTTGTTTTTAAGAAGCAACATACCACAGGTTACAGTGCTATTTTTCAGTTTAAAAATGCTGCCTCCAAACACACTGGTTTAAACACCACGGCGAGCTGTTCTGTCTAGTCCCCAGCTCTATAATCACGTGACCTGAGGTCGGCTCTCCAGTTCTTAACCGCATCCCAGCTCAACATCAGTTGGCCATAGGCAAAGAGCAGACTATGTTCTAACAGTCAACCTGTTAGAAACCGGGGCCCCAGACAATATCTATCCACAGACGGTGCCTGGAGCAGCAGCTGACTCAGTGCTGTTCCACTGTGCCCTGGCTGCTGCAGCTGTGGCAGAACAAGGCCAGTTGTGCACAATGAAGCTATGTCTAACCAGCATGTCGACCCAAGAACACTCATGTTAGACTTGTATGCTGTTACGCGTCGTCGGATCCAGCGTGTGAATAATAGCAATCTGATGTCTACATTAGGCATTGAAGAAGCACAGGAAATCCAGCGCAGGAGACTGAGCGTCTAAAATACGGAGAACGGGAGCCAGCTGGCAGGATCCCTCTCAGTACTCCGTTGCTAGGGATTAACATGCACTTCCTGCAGAACATTCTCACTTCAGAAACTTACTGAAATGCTTATGTTGTTGTGCACAATCTACATCAATTACTTAATAGTAAAGGCCAAATTCAGACGTATTTGGAAGGAAGAAAACATCCTTATTTTAATCAAATAGGGTCAGTGGTCAATAAAATTCAGCTTTGTTCAATCTCATTCAGTAACATACTCTGGCAGGCTTCAAATGTGGATGTTGCAGCCGTTGGGTAGTACTGACAAAATCATAATTTTATTATATAAATATTGATCCTATCTGACAACAATCATCTCTCTGAATTGCTTCTAAACAGTCTTCATGTGAACTGATTTTCTGAGTTAATCCAGCAAATTGGCACCTGAAGAATTCTAAGGCAATGTCCCCACGTAGTCAGTAGCGGCTTTGAAAAACCTGACACATTATGGCCCGGTGCAATAGTGTAGTAGTTAAAGTCCTCGCCTTGAATGCACCACGATCCCATATGGGTGCCTGTTCTAATCCCGGCTACTCCACTTCCCATCAGCTCCCTGCTTGTGGCCTGGGAAAACAGTCAAGGACGGCCCAAAGCCTTGGGACCCTGGACCTGCGTGGGAGACCTGGAAGAAGCTCCTGGCTTCGGATTGGCTCCTGCCTTTGGGTCGGCACAGTACCGACCGCTGTAGTCACTTGGGGAGTGAATCATCGGACAGAAGATCTTCCTCTCTGTCCTTCTCTCTGTATATCTGTTTTCCAACAAAAATAAATACATCTTTATTAAAAAGAAAAACCTGAAACATCAGCCGTTCAGCACACAGCCCCTCAAATGGTCCCCTCTGAATAGGCAATGAATAACAGTACCTGCACTTGGAAATCTGATTCCCAGAGCTTCAAAAAAAGAAAGAAAAACCACAAACTTTTTTTTTTAAATTTCTGCAAATTTGTTGGATCATTTTCCTTACATGGCTTTCCAAGGGCACCTTGTAGGAGACGGCTTGCTGCTACCCTCTTGTGAGCAATCCAAACCCACTGCTGTCAGGCCAGCGCTTCAGTTCCACAGCTTTTCTTGCAGAGGGCTCAGCAGAACCTCAACTGGTGTTACCACAACGATCCTGCAAGTGCACCGGTCCTCCCTGGAGTACTCACAGGGTCGCTGGGCAATTATGTAATCGGTGCACCTGATCCTGACTATGTCGTCATGATGATGATTTGCAAGAGCAAGCCCAGACTGCCCCTCGCTAGGCAACGCCTTCATCAGGGAAAACCAAACTGCACTTATTCTTCTTATGGCTCTTTATGGGTTAATCATCACGATGAGTGGCAGCACTGTTCAGTTATAACCCTCGTTAGCTGAAGACACGATGCTTGCTAGCAATTCCTGATTTGCTGTATGCCAGCATGGTGCTGTGTGCTTTTATTATATTTAATTCTCATAATATAAATTTCCTAGACATTTTAAAATACGAATCTTATTCTCTGGAAGTGGAGGGTGTTTATTTAACTTCCTACTAAATCCTCAGAACGAGCATGCACTCAATAACTACTTGATGAATAAGCTGCTCCTTGAAAGAGTGAGTAAACCAGCACCTTGTCAAGTGGGCATTACTGTCTCATTTTCCAGGTAAAGAGTCTCGCAAAAATTATACTCCAAGAGTCATAAGAGGGAATAGCTCTAGAATTTGGAAGCAGATGTCTGAGATCACGTGTTTCTGAAAGAGCAGTTCTCTTTTGATGGACCAATATAAGCACCTGGATGACTTTTATACCAGAAATGCTTTTGGCCATGCTGTGCTCATCAATGTACCTATACGCTGTAATTCTAGAAAGTCCATGACACTGTGAGACCTTCCACAGCAATACGATCAGGTCTGCAGGGAAACAGGTTTGCTCTCATACTTCTTTCTTTCGTGTGTGTGTGTGTGTTTAAAGGATTTGTAAGACAGATTTTTATAAAGAGAAGAGATAGCGAGAGGTCTTCCATTCGCTGGTTTACTTCCCAGATGGCTGTTAGCTGCGACCCAGGAGCGTCCTCCGGGCTCCCCTTCCTGACCTCCCCGGCGGCGCAAGGGCCTGCTCCCTGTGTCTGATTCCTTCCACTGGAACGGGAGCATGAGAAGTGCTCACAGAGGGTGCTAGTCTGCCTTGTGTGACCTTCCTTATACATGCACTGTGCAACTGACATCCATTTAGGATCTCCACAAATGCCTGCCAAACTTATGTATGAATCAACCTCAGAAAGTTAAAGAAAAATAGAACCACTGAGTCCTTATCATTTAACAAGTTTATCTTTTGTAAAAATTTTTAAAAATCCATGCCAAGTTTTTTCATTATAAACATTTTTTGATGACCATGTGTGTGTGATGGTGAAAACTGCAAATGCTGAGAAGCAAACTTTTTTGTTGCTTTTAATTAACAGCACATATGACACCATGTCTCCGGGTAGGCACAACCCTACAGCAAGAGCTGAAGCTACTTTCAGTAAATAACTATTATGAATATAAACAGTACCAAAAGCTAAGGAGATCTAATGAAAGTTATCTACAAATTCAAGCTACAAGTTTTTTTCCTGAGAAGGTAGCATATGAATGGAATAAAAGTGCAGTGATGGATTCTGCTCCTAGAACGACAGTTCTAAACAATCCAATGAGCACCAGCTTTGCTCGCTTTATCCTTGAACCCAGCTTTGCTGAAATGTTAATATTTTAATGGAGAAGTCACATCTAACCCTCCTGGTAGAAAGCTATCAGCCAAGCATAACCCAGTTTCTAAAATTCGGGCAAGTTCTCGGGCAACTCTAGGATTCACAGGCTCCACAACAGGAAGTATGAGAACAGGTGAAAAAGGTCCTGGAGTGAGTGATGTCGACACACATGATCAGAAATGCTTGGGACCAAGTGCTCCTAGCAACCTCAGGTGGATCAACTGGAAAGGAAAGCATAAAAACCAAGTTACAGATGCCGATGATGAGAGCAAAGCATACTGCTTTGGACTGCCAACTCATACCTGAAATATGATACAGAAGCAAAGCCAAGGGGACAGAGCAGTGAGGAGCTCCTCAGACGTCAGCTACATTCAGTCAGTATGAATGCCTCATCAGTAGGCTATTTCAAATGCATGAAATAGCCAGGAATTTGTACACGAGTTTTGAGCCTCGAGGCGGCTAGATGTCAATGCCTGTAGGATTGCCACCATCGGAAGGCAGAGACGGCCATAGTTAACTTCTGGGATCACAAGTGGAAAGGCACAGGAGACCATGACTCATGGAATGCCAGGGCTAATGCATCGTTTTTCATACTGGAGCTCTTTAGGAGCCATGAATAGAGCCTGGGAACAACAAAATTGTAATGTCACCTTTCCAGGCATATAGAAAAGAAAATGTACCAGGTGCTTCTAAGGTCACGAGCCACAAGATGCAGTCTATGGTGTCTAGATTATGTGGAAAGTAAATTACCTTTGTATCAGACATTATGTAGCAAAGTGGCAGTGACGCTACTACTACTGATAATAACAGTAATAATAATGATGATGATGATGATGATGATGATGTAAGCACTTAGTAAAACAACCCACATGTTTAATTTTTATCATGGATAATTAATGCTATTGTTTTTTCAGTTATCTTCAAAGATTATGAGAATGAAGATTATTTTTTGACAATCTTATTTGGAGCTTACAAATAACGTCTTAAAATACTGAAGTTTAGGAATGAGACACACAGATTTAATTTCACATTTTGTCAAATGGGAATAATTATGTTTAGATTATAATACTGGCAGGACCGTGCAAGGCGTGACTAAGTTTCCACACTGTGTATGTTAAAGAAGGGCAGATCTCTTCAACGAATCATTCAAAGACAGGAGCTGCTCGGTGGTGGTGTGTCTCCAATTTGTACTTCTTTAGCATAGAAGTCAGAACCTGAACAGTCTGGGTGAAAACTCTAGCCTCCCTACTCCCTTACTGTGTAACTCAAGACAATTACCCAATCCTTCTGAAGCTCAGAGCTTTTATCTCTAAATCTGGGATAATATTACCCCCCTCACATGCTTGTGATGCTTCAATGTACTGAAGGTGCCAAGCATAGTAAATGCCCCTCAAGGATCGCATTTGTTTAAAACAAGCTCAGTCTTGTTTCTGAATCTTGGATTGGGCATTTTGTGATAAGCTGTTAACTCCCCTATGAATCCTTGCATTCCTCAAGTTAGCCAAGTGGCATGTTTTAAAGATCACAACTTTATCGACCTGGTCTCTAACAACTCAACAGCACATGAAAATACTCATAGGGTGGAATGGTAGTTGTAATTCGGTACAATCAGCGATGTATCCAGGTCCTGGCTGCCTCAGCTAACACGTGTCTTGTAGGCTGTTACTTCAGATGCATCATGCACCTGGAGGTCACAGGACGTGTATCAGGCCCTGTGCTCTGGTCTCTGGTTCTGATTCCTTGGCCTCTGGGGCAAGTAAGTTACCATTACCCTTTGTTCTGGCATTTGAGGAACGCCTTTATTCATCTGTTCTTTCACTCATCAGGTGACTATCTCTTCCATATGCCAAACACAATACTACATGTTTCCAAATTTGCTTAGACCTTGCTAGCCTCTCTCCCAATGCCTGGTCCTCCGGCTAGGCACTAGGTATTAATGTAGTTGATGAGAGAAAACAAAGATACCATCACTTATTTGAACATAAGCCCTACCACTGCTCAGACAGTTTTGATGTCACTAACACTGAAAATGTGCTTATAACGTTACTTCCTTTGATACTGTGACTACCTGAGATGTGTCCAAGTTAATCCCATGACTTCAAACTCATTTTCTTTGCCCATCACCATTTTGCATGTTAGACACCTGGCTTCTCCGGCCCTCTCTTAATCCCTGTGTGCAGGCCTGTGCCCAAGTCTGACTAAGCAGCTGAATATGAGCGGCCCATTTATTTCTGAATCTCCACTGCATCATATGCCAAACATGGCTGACTACAAATGTGCTGGAAAAATCTCAGGCAGGGTTTTGAAGGCACATTTCCTGGACTAAAACCTTCTCTACAAACACCAAGATCCCAAGGGATTTAAAACTGAATAATTAAATGCTTCTAGATTTACTACTAAAATTTCACTCTGAATAGGATATATTTGCAGAATATGATCTTAGGGTGCTCCTGGCAGGCTGATGTTACATTCAAATCCGTCATACGAGGGAAAATTAAGAAAAAGCCTGAATGTGTTCACAATTAATAAAAATATTTTGTCTAAGCAGATAGTTTTCCACAAAGCATCAGAAAACACAGTGTTGGTCTGGAGGGCTCCAAAAGTCTAGGGGTGAGTGATTTCACAAACAACACATGTGTTACTAGCATTTTAAAGAGCGTAAGTAGCATGTATAGTTTGTCCCAGCATTATATATCTGATGACCTTGGAACGGCCTTGAGTTAGACTCAGGAATAAGACCAGGAGAGAGTCAGAACTTCACTGTCAGCATGTATTCTGTCCTCTGCAGCTGGGCAGTCAGGCCCAGAAGGGGCACGGCACAACAGGGAACGCACTTGGGGTGTTAGCTAGAACAAAGCCGCACGTCCAGGAGAGGCTTTCTAGAAGCTCCACTGCAGCCACCCTGCATCTTTGATCTTTGAAAGTGTGAGTGCCAAGTGTAGAGACACTTTTGCCCGGAATATTCTGCTAGAGATCACATTCACAACTAGCTTTTTTTTTTTTTTAAAGAAACGGCAATTTTCATGCCGTCCCCACTGAGATGTGACATTAGTGGATGGAGAGCTACAAAAATTAACGTTAAGATGCAAAGGGAAGAAAACAGCTCAGGTGCAGAGATACGACTACATCCTTTCAACTGACTTGGCAGTACTCATAGGCAACATTGCTGGGGTGACAAGCAAATCCCACCCCCATTGCTGCGGTGAGTTACCTAAGAGAAAATAGTAACTACATCGAAAGAAATGTTGCAAGGAAGAGAAAAAAAAAACTTAGCACCTGTACTAGTTAGCACACCAGAAACACTTGAGCTTTCACACTCCTTTGATCAGATAAAATTGTATGTAAATCGGTAACAGAAATTACTGACAGCTAACATTCAATTCAGATCAATAAAAATCTTAATATGCATCTCAATTTAAACATGGAAATACTAAATCACAATCAGCATCAAAAACATCTTTTGTTCAACACAGCATTCACCGGACTATTAATCTCTTAAATTTGCATAAAGACATGTAGAGCTTTATAAAAGTACATCACACCAAAAGAAAAGTCACATTTTGAAAAGTCACCCACATACATTGCTCCACAAGAAAAAATGTGTGGAAGTACACAGCGATGACTTCTTTCTTTAATCCTTAGAGTTTCTATCTCTACTTCTTGGATGAGATATCAACAGGGCCATGATACTGATTCCTCAGTACCCGATTTTTCCTAACACATTTCCAACCACAAAAATAATTTCAGGTCTAATTTCAAAAGACTTGTCATTAATGAAAACACACAACTCTCTTCAAATAGAAGGAAAGGGGCAATGTTCTCAAAATGAAAGAGTATATCAATTTTTTTTAGAAACTGTGATCCCTTAACAAACTATACTGGGGAGGGTGAAGATCATTTTAATAAAAACGATTCTGATACTAGCACGCCGTGGGATTTACACTGAACACAGCCTCAAGGAAAAGATGCACCATATTTGTAAATCTCACATGACTTAGAAGAGTTTCTCATGTGAAAACTGTTCAAATGCCAGAAAGTTGGAATGTACACATGAGAACTGAGAGCGCGCTCACCACAGGTTGTAGCGGGGCACCGGGCATCATGGCATTGGCTAGTTGCATCTGCTGGGCCAACATGGCCATGTTCTTCTGTTGAATCAAGTTATTGCGCCCATTTATTTCCAACTGTGTTTTTAAGTGTGGGGGTGGATGAAGATATTTGCAGTTCTCCCTGGAGCAACGACCCTAAAGAAACATAAAAAAAAAAGCAAACACCCTTTTAAAAAGAATAGTTAGCAAGTTGTGAAAAATAACATTTAAGGAATACAAACCAACTATATGAATCAATGTTTCTCACGTTACTGCGTACATACTGCTTGTACTTGGTATATTCTATATTGTCCATATTATTTTATCACATACTTAGAAAAAGTAACAGCTAAATATATGATAAAAGCGAAGGTCAAGACATTTGAAAAAGTTTAAAAACTTAAAAGACTTCCTTGGTTTTGATAATCTTGGAATTAACACATCTAGATTCAAGTTTAAACATCGGCAAACTTCCACGGCTAACACTGAAATACAGACTAACAAAGATTATCAGTCTTCTGCTATACATAATACTTCCTACTTAATGAATTACAATCATGATATTTTTACTTGTCACTGAGTTCTTTAGGAAATGAGCTTAAAAGACTAAGACACTGTACATTCAGTAGAACACCTTCACGAGTATCTAGTAACAAAATTAAAAACAAAACAGCTGTGCAAGACCATGTGTTAAAGCTCCCACGGTTTCCCACTGCATACAGTTTAGTGAGAGCAATAAAACACTGCCTTAAAACGTGGCCCTAAGCTTTCAGAGATAAAACCTGTCTCCACCTCTCAAGAAATATCTTTTAAGAAACACAGAGTGTAAAATGGAGCAATAAAACGGACCAGCAAAAGGCAGAAAGTGTGAATATTCCTTCCTGCTGGGATAACTCTTTTCATCAACAGCAGTCACTGGAGATCCACACTACATGTAACACGTGTGAGGGATTCGACCCACATGATTTCACAAGCGACTGAGCAACAGATTCCATCAACTACCCTCAACAGTAAACCTAATGAAAATTATTCGTAAAGAAATATCAACTTCTCAAGTTTTCTAACAGACACGAGCTTAGCTTAACTCAAGCATCAAGTGAATTGATTCTAAAACCTGATGTGTGTTTATATGATAAGAATCTCACACAATGCTTCTCCAAGCCATCTGTTTTACCTTTCGATTAAGGGTTTTAGGGACAACCTGCAACGGGAAAGTGGCACAAAGGATTAAGTCTCTCTCTGGGTTGCCTCTATCTCAGACTGGAGCGCTAACATGAACTGTAGCTACTTTTCAGCTTCCTGCGGATGAATCCTGTGGGGGCAGCAAATAATGGTTCAAGAGCTTGGGCCCATAGAACTCACACGGGAGAGCCAGGTGAAGTTCTGGGTCTGTGCATCAGCTGGCCCAAACGCAGTGGATCCGTGGGGAATAAACCAACAGATGGCAGATGCCTAGCCCACTCTCCCTTTCCTTCCACTTGCTGTCTCTCTGCTTTTCAAATAGATGAAAAAAATGTGTTAAAGTAATGTCTTTGGGACCAGCACTGTGGCTCAATAGGCTAATCCCCCACGTTAAGGGGCTAGTGTCCCATGTGGGTGCCGGTTCACGTCCCAGCTTCTCCACTTCCATCTCACTCCTTGTGATGCCTTCTACCTTAGGCTAATACAGGATATTATCTGCTGTTTTAGGAAACTTTATAGAATCCTTTAAAGCAAGAGCAACCTAGTACAGTGACTGACAGGGAGGACCTTACATTTCTCAAAACCTGGGGCAGAGGCCTAGCTCTCTTGTTCATCAACTGCATGAATTACATAAGAATCTAAATTCTTTTAAAGTAATTTTTTATTTTATTTTTATTGGAAAGTCAGATATACAGAGAGGAGGAGGACTTACATATTCACCCCATTATGGACCTCTTCCAATGAGCAGCCTATGTATTATGAGCTTATGTTTTACTTGTGCTGTACATTCAAGAAACCCAAATATATGACTTAAATTTTGTATTTCCTATTTTAACTGGAATAACACTTAGGAGTTTTTAACGTATTATGGACTAAAATCTAAATGGAAAGTCATCCATTAGTTTAAAAACTGTATCTAAAGTACTAGTGAAACCAGTTATTTTAAGAAATCTCACGGTTATTTCATGGTATTCTCATGGTATGTTGGCATTATTTTTGTTTTAAAGACTACACAGCACATTGTAAATAAGCAGTACATAACAAGCAATTGCCATACATTTACTATACTAAACCCTACAGTATCATATATACTAAAATATTTACATATTAACCAATACTTTCACATTCTCAAATGTCCATTATTTTTAACTCAGATAAGAGGTTCTTTCTGCATTACATATGACTTCCTAATTTTATGAATATACTACTCTTGTACTTATTTTTACAGTTTTATCATCAGAAAAGGCAAGAAAGTATTCTTTGAACCGGAACGATTTCTGGTTCAATTTCTTCATTGGTCTCTTGGGTTAACAGCAGGAATAAACAGTCAGCCCCGATGCAGAAAGCGAGGAGAGGAGTCAACTCCACTCTTACTGCCGTGATGTACGTAATCCCTGGTCTTCTAAACGTAACATGATGTCAATCAACTCATCATAATTAGCTTTTAAGTTCAACTTCCTAGGTAAGTTGCAGTTTCTTCTTCTAACCAACCCTGCACCAAATGTTGAGAGTTCAATTCAAGCACCAGAATAGTTTTGTTTTCTACCAGTGAGGGGGAGAAAAATCTCAGAAATTCATCAGTGTGATTTCTCACAGCTATTTTCCCACAGTTATAAAATACGTTTTCAAATGGAACACAGTATACGGCAAACTTAAGATTCTTTTCCTTTCCTGGTCCTGTATCAAGTTCATATTCACACACATACAAACACAACATTGCTTAATAATGTTAAGACCGTCAGTATAAGAAGAAAATCACAAATACAATCACACAGACAGCTCTTGAGTTTAAATTTGTAATTTTCCATGACTTCAAAGAAAGTAAAAATCAATTATTACAGAAAGTAACAGATTCAATTAGTAGGCATTCCATCTATTAGGCATTTTCCCATCGATGTCTAATATGTACTCACACGGGGTTTTAGGTTAAAACTTTCTAGTTATGGAAAGAGCCCCATTCAGTACTCAATGGCTGTTCCAGGCACTATTCTGTTACCGCATTCCTAGGCTTGATAATGAAGATTCTTGGATATTAAAACCAATAGTGACATTTACAATATCCCAAAATACACTCACTGCTGACGCACTATCAAGGCACTCTCACTCCAACACCGGGATACTGTGACTTTTCCCCCTGGAGAACTCAGGGGCCTGAATTGCGCAACTCCCATTAATCATCTTGAAAATGGCACTGGTGCAACCCTACACTGCTGGGTAAGTGTTACATAATGCGTGGGCGTCAGGGTTAGCAGCCACCGAGGAGGTGGCTCAAGTGGAAAAGGCAGGAAAGCAGATTCTAGCGACGAAAACTCCTCTCTTTTCCCCAGCAGCTTCTGTCTGCATATGCGCAGCCACGCACACAACCATGTCAGCCAACAGTGTCCACAGGAAATGGATCCACACCCCAAGAAACCCTAACCTCCTCAGAGAGGCCCCACAAAGGCCTTCTTAAAAGTGCTGGTGATAGGATGATGGAAGAACTGGTCTTGTTCTCTTATTCCAAGAGTGCAGAGCCATCCTGGAGGCGCATGTTAGGAAGGGTTTAACTGCACCTTACCATCTACCAATTCCACAGTGTTCTTAGGCTCTGAAGCTGGATGGATCTGACCAGCAGGCCGGAATCAAACCCATGTCTCGGATGACCTTGTCAAAGCCTAGCGACATTCGCTAAGTGCCAGCAGTAAAGAGAGTATGCCAGATCACTATGCTTCTATTATTTCTTCAACTGCTTCGTTCTTTTCCATGTCAGATTTATAAACTGTGTCTGAAACACTTCTGAAGCTTCATGACATCCAAATCAGACACTTCTTTTATCTTGGCTAATAATTAAAAGCCCTAATATTTACATCATAAAATTTCACACAAGCTTTTCAATTGATGTGTGTATATATATATATAAAATAGTTTATAAATAGAACCCAATTCAAAATCACACCATTCTTAGGTGGGTTTCATTATGACTTTCTCCAATACATATCTAGGGCTATCCTGAGGAGAAAAGAAGATAAATACCTTAAGTCAAATGCATAAATCTCCCCTTACGGTAATAGGAATCTCTTGGAAGACACTTGGAATCTCTTGGAATAGGAGCAGGCAATTCCTTACAAAGAATGCTAGCCTCTGCTCCATTTACGAAGCGAAAGCATTGATTAAAAACTTGGAGAGCTATTTTGAGCACAACGGTAAAATAAAGCATATACTGCTTCCCACCTTCCAGGATGTCTTAAGCACCTGAGCAAAGTTAATTCACTTGATCCTCTCCATATCTCTTGCCTGTACTGCTTGTTACATTTTCCAGTTTTGCTACACTTCACTGAAGTGTGGCTAGGGCAAGAGGTTTGTGCACAGGCACTAACTGGTCCTCGGAGGCCTGGACACAACTGCCACTCCTTGACACTGCGCGAGACACATGTTTCGGTGCCACATGGGCAGCACCGAGCCCTCCTAACACTCACACTGGGAATCAAAACCTGTAACCAAAACTGACTGATGCAAGGGAGGGATGCAATCCGCTCTGATCTCTGCAAACAAAGTTTCACAGTGTAAGTAACTAAGGGGGGGGGGCGGAACTAACCCGCAGAGTGTTTGCCAAGTGTAATGGAAAAAGTCAATGTTTATGTTAATTTTATTTATCTACCACTCCTGATTTTCTTCCCTCAGAAAGACATATAGTCTAGGATCAAGAAGAGAGGGGGGAAAAAAAAGATGTTGTTTCACGTTATCTATTTCAACAAGAAAGCTAGAAGAGCAAGCGGTTCTTGTCTCATCTACATATTCCACTGGTCTGGGCTCTGCAATTTGTGTAAATCAGAAATAATGAAGAAGCTACTTCCTGGTGGTGTGTGTAACATAGACTATGAAAGTTTCTAATGAACAAGATTTTTTTAAAAGATTTATTTATTTTTTATTGCAAAGTCAGATATATAGAGAGGAGGAGAGACAGAGAGGAAGATTCCCCATCTGATGATTCACTC